ATATAAGTGGTATGTCGTGCAGAGAGTTCACTGGACACCTTGATTGGAGCTAATGTTTGGCTCAAAACCATACCTGTGACCTAATACCCAAAGGTTGTTTAGATTTCCCACATGGTGGGAAGCAAAGCAACAGGAACCTTTCCCTCTTCGTTTTGTGTACTACACCCAAAGAGTCTCAGAGAATTTGCCTTTAAGGAAATGAAGTAATGCTTGAATAATACTTTCCAACAAAAAGATCATATGCATGATTTTATACAACTCACAAATAACAACCTAGCAGACAGGTAATTATGTCAAGTAGTTTTTATAAAGGGACCATGATTTGAAGGTTAAGCTTGTAGGCTATGGAGCCAGAACATGTGGATATGGTTCCCATATCTCCTGCTGCCTAGTTGTTTGACCTTGGACAACTTTTTATGCCCCAGTCAGGTTCAAAACTGGGGCAAATAAGAGTATGGATAATATAGTCAATGATTCTGTAACATCTTTCTATGTTAACAGATACTAACTGCACTAGAGGGGTGAGGATTTAATAATATGGGTAACTGCTGAACCACTGTGTTGTATACTTGAAACCAATATAAGATTGTATATCGATACTTCAACAACAAAAAAGAGTATTCACCTCAAAGACTTTTTGTAGGATTAATAATTTAATCCATATAAATTGTTCAGAATAATGCCTGGTGCATGGACAGTTAGAGGTATTATTACTTTACAAATGATGATATTAAGGCTTGAGGATATAAAATGACTTCAAGCAAATGCAAGTAGCCAGTGATGAGATTTCCGACCCCAGAACCTCTGAGTGTTTTCCACATCACCAGACAGCATTCCAGCAATGCTCCATTTATAAAGTGCATGAACATCACACTTGGAAGTAATGGCTATATTTGGGGACTCTTGCATAGGACTAGAGTACTGTCTTATATTTAAGAAATCTCAAATGATGAACTGCCTGGTCAGAGAACTGAACTTGGGGAAGGCAACATTTTGGCAGACTCCATCAGTTAGCCACTTCTGCACAAGGTTCAAGAACAGCTGGCTTGGCTAGACCAAGTATAGCTAAGGAGCTGTTGCTATGGACTTAAACAAAGCCATATTTTTTGCCATATCCCAGTGCATCTCTGATAGCAGCCAAGAAAACTACTTGTTCTCTTATTATTTATTACTATTATTCCTTGAGCTTTTGATTTTCATGTCTCTGGGAAATATTCTATTCCTTGTGCTCAATTTCATATTATTCTTCTGTTTATCTTTAAAAATAAGTTGTATTTTATATTTTAAACTCTTCTGAGAAATCTTCCCTCATCTGCTGGCATGACCTTATTCTAATTTCTTTTAAGACAGAATCATTCTTCATCACAGCACTTGTGAGCTACCTTATAATCACTAGTTTCCCAGTCTCTATTCCCCACCACACAAAAGATGTACTTGTTTTAGTATCCATAGTACCTAACATACAGCCTGATATATAAATATTCACTGACTAGAAGACTGACTATGAGAATGAATGAATGAATGAATGAATGAATGAATTAAAGAGATAAGAAAACCTCAGAGACTTAGCATCCAATCAAAGCACATTATAATTTAACTTGACTTATAACCTGAGAAGGGAAGATGGAATAAGTGATGAGGGGAAAAGGTGTGACTTTGTGATGTTAATCAGTTAATGAAGCTCCAAGTTGTTTTGCCTGGATGTATAGGATAAAAAAGAAAATTTCACCACCAGCTATCTAGCCTGATTTGCATGTGTTCAAATCTTCAAAATATTCCCTCTGATTCCTTTAATCAATAGCTATTTTAGAAAACTCTTCATTACTTCCTAATTGTCCAAATTCATTTTCTTCATTTTTCCTTATTAGAGGCAAATTTTTCAAATGAGTTAAGTAGATCAGCAATTTTAGAATCATTATTAACTTCAAGCATTTTTCTCAGTTATTAGCATGTCCCTTCTCTCTCTAGGCCTACACTATTTTCTCCATTTGTAATAGGCAATCTGGTTCATTTTCTAGACTTCTTTTTTCCATTGTGTCTCAAAGTCAATTTCACCCTATACTATGAGCAATCCGTGTTTACCATAACCCTGATCCTCAATACTTAAACTGAACACATCTCTAGTTTGGGATGAAGATGCAAGTGTTCCCTGTTTTATTAACATGTCAAAAATTGAGTAAACAGTGTTCATGTAGATTTTACACTGCCCCAACCAAATAAACTGGTAAAGCCATTACCATTTCCTTGAAAAGATTTTACAAATAATTTAAATGAATATTTGATACTTAAGTGTATTAAAATTCATTGATCCCCAATAATTTCAATTCTGGGAATCTGTATCACAGAAACAAAAGCACTATTATTGTGCCAAAGAACTGGAAACAAATGAATGTTCATGAAAAATTGGGTGGTTAAAAATGTATGGTACATCTATACCATGGAATATTACAGAGTGAATATTACAGAGTTGTTTGTATATGACTCCATGAGAATGGAAAAACATACAGAAGAATATTCAGCAGGGTGTTCCTGAGGAGGGAGAAGTTGGAGGGAAAGAGAAGAGAAGAAAGGGTAATGTAAGAAAGAAAAAGAGTAGCATTCAAGACAAAACAGTATATAGGATATGATCTAATTTATGTAAAATTACAAACTGCATATGTGTGCATGAATATGAATGCATATACACGAAGAGACAACCACATGGTTACCTGATGGCAATATACTATATTTTTCCTTTCTTACATATATATACTGTTAATATTTTATAATCTGACATTTCTTTAAAATTTGAATGAATTTATCATTTGAATTATTGTTTACATAATTTGACAAACAAATTGAAGGTATTTTCATTGGGATATATATACTATAGATAGAGAAAAAGAGTAGTGTCAGTTAGACCAAGGATTATATACTCCCAGCAGATTCAAATCCAGCCACCAGGTAAGAGGGTATCGACAATACCACCAGACTTTAATCAACCTGCCCAATAAAGTGTTATGTCTTATCAATTATGCTCTTTTTAAAAACAATCTTTGCTGGTTTTCATTGTTAATCCACTTTCAAGTCTCAGGTAATGTCATTCTTTCTTAATTAGGTTCTTCATTTGTTTCCCCAAATACTTGATTTCCTAGGAAGTCTTCAAAATTCCTCCATAAAACAATCTTAAATTTACATACTCTGTGATGCTACATTTCCCTGGAAAATTGTGATAAGTTGTACTTGAGGTTGTATATTCCTCGGGGTTCATCAGTTTTTCCTTTTAAATTCAGTAGGAGTTTGACAGTGAGAGAAGAAACGTCAAAATCTAAAGATAAACACATTTGGGCTACAATGCCGAAAACTCCTGGAAGGCATTTCATATGGTTGATCTTCTCTCATGATTTGTGGGATATTTTGGTGTACAAACTTGTGGAAAAGATACATCAAATCTGCCTATGTTTAAGGTAATCCAATATTTTCACTAACCTAAAATTGAAAAATAAGAAATCTAAGTACTTGAATTTCAGAAAGCATTTTAATTACTTTGGTACATGAAAGTTGTTAAGAAATTGGAGTAATCAAACTATTCAAGTGCTGATGTAGAAAATATAGAATAAATTAATCAAGGTGCAATTTCTAGGCTATTACCGTGACCATATGTCTCTTTAATTACCTTCCCCCTCAGGGACTTAATGTTTTACAAGATTTGCTCTACCAAAACAAATGAATTAATAAAGTAATAATTAATTATTTTTGAAGTTCTTAATGAATCAATGACATGTGTAATTGCCCATCACACCTATTGATCAAGATGAGGAAACCAGAGTTACACATGTAGTTGAAACAATTTATTTACAGGCAAAAAATTTGTTACCGTGGATCAGCATTTCTGTTAGCTTCTTAAAAAGGATGAAAACAGTTGAAGAAACACTGTAAACCTCAAAGTGTACACTGACCTCTGCTTCAGAATCAGTGTTCCATAGTCACAGAATAAATTGGGTTTGAAAAAGCAGCCTTATGTTAATTCAAAAATTTGTTTTGTAAAAAAGCAAACAACCCAGAAAAGAATATCAGGATAATTTGCAAGAATGGCTTTGAAGTGACCCATGAAAACACGAGCCTTAACCTTAAGTTAAGGGCAAAGGAGATGAATGCGTGATGAGCTCTCAGCAACCTTGCAATTCCACTTACAAAGATTCAAGTAATGGAGAAGAGAAGGCAAACGTATCAACAGAAGATAATGTCCACAGTATTTTCGTTAGCTTTTTATACCTATCTCTTTAACTTCTGTAAGATAGTTTTTCTTTTGTTTTTCCTGCCCTGAAAAGATAAATGCAGATGCATTCACATTCTCTGGAGACTAGAATCAGATGCTCAAGTCAAAACAAAGCCTTTTGAAAGCACCCAATCTTACGGCAGAGGCAGTAAAGGATAATAAATCATGCGCTGTTTTGAAAATGTCCTGCACGAGAAATATCTTAAATGTACATGCCCAGAAATGACCTTGAAAACTAGGTTACCAAGTCTTGAAACTTTGAGAATCATTCAAGTGTTAGGTTTTTGTTTTGTTTGTTTCTAATAAAGGGCACAAAAATAGTAAACATCACATCACACTGAATTTGCGTTAATCACCTTTTTGTTCATTCACAAACCAGATAGCCTAGAAAAAATGCTCTACCAGCACTTCCAAACTGTGGCTCCGTTAAAGATTTAACATGTGAGGTCAGAATGAGGTTTTCTTATTAAGCTGCCGTTTCCTTTACAAAATAGACTATTCTGTACTTAACTGCTACCCTTTGAACTCTTATAGTGAATAATTAAAACTAAACTGCAAAGCATACTTTGTGATGTTGAGTATGCTATGGGTTGCAGGTTTTTGCTTACTGGCTCATTTTAGAATGCTCACCAGTCCCCGGAGGGAAAACCTTGCCATTAGTCTGAATCGACAAAATTGGCTGGACCCTAAAAGCAAAGAAGACAGCTCCAAATCATAATAAAACAGTCTTGTTAGGACTCACCATATTGACAGTGGGGTCCATGAAAACCTTCTGAACACTGGCACCTCTGGGCTTCACCATCTGAGGGACCTCCTTCCATTAAAACAAGTCCCCACTGCAGAGACAGCTAAAAAGAGGGTAGGTAAAAAGGGTATCAGAACAGAGTTGGAGGGAAGAAAGAAAACCTTCAATGTGAATACATTTCTAATATAAATACAATCTAGAAATTTCCATCAGCCCCTCCATGGCAAGGTTAAGCAGTGTTTTCATTTCAACTTAAGCCTTACTGTTTAAAGCCTTGTAGAACTGAATGTGGTACCATCTCCATCACCTCAAAGCTTAGAGAAATGCTGAATCTCAGGACCTATCCTAGACCTACTGAATCAGAATCCACATTTAAGATAGTAGGTAATTTATATTCATTTTAGAGTTCAAGTAACACTAGTCTAAAGAAACTCCATGAATAAGATGATCCAGTGGCCAAAGCAAACTAAAAATCAAGGAAGAAATATTAATGCTTAACTGAGGCAAAGGGCTGTGATGGGTGTCATGCAATATTATAAAGCAGTTATCTCACAGGCTTCAATTCCAGAAGTTTATAACATAGCTGAGATGGCATCTTGGGCAGATGTTTTCATGGAGCTTAAACCAGCCAGCTGCAGTAGCCTAGCACTGCATGCACATACATGTGACCCTTGGGGTACCACTCAACACTATACCTGTTTAATATGGGAAGCCTGAAGCAACTTCATTAAGACATTTCAAGAGCAGAAAGCGCAGTGGAAGGGAAGCAGAATGCTGACAAAATCCCTACGGTACAGATAGCAGGAAAGATGAATTGTTGTGCTATGGTGCTAGATCGATTGTAACACACTGAAGCATTTTAAGTGATTTGCAATAACCACTGACACACAGGTAACAAGTCACTAAATGGAGCCATTTCTCCAGGAATGAATGACTATATAATGCTACTGGTTCTACTACTTGAGGGGCATCAGACATATTCTAAAGGTTCTGGAATACCCTCACCAGAGTTTCATAAAAGGACTGCAGACCTCATCTTACAAAGTAGACTGCCTCCAGAGTTCTGCAATTAATCACAGCAAGTTGAGAAATGCCCTTTAGATTTAGTATGCTGATTTCCCTCCAGACTTGAATCAACTGCAGATTACACATTTGATGATATGGGAAAGGGGCAAACAACTAGAAGTCAAGGTGTAACTTGTCTAGCTTTAAATAATCTGTCTTTTAAATAAAAAGATAGACTACAAAGAAGCAGCTCTATGGGTCCTGAGTTCTGACCTATCACTAGAAACACTTAAGAAAAAGGGTTTCGTGCATTTTTGCACATCATGTGAATTTTCAGTCCAAAGACATACCCTGAATCTGTGGTGATTCCAAAGATGCCTAAAACCTGACAGGAATGATATGACTGGAGCCTAAAACAGCAAAACCATTCCTTATAGTGACAGACGGTTAGGCAGGAAGAACTATGACTTACAGTGAAGGCAGCCAGGTTCACTGTCCAGCCAGCACCAGCCAGGGAAGCACCTGTGGACCATCTGCTGCTCCATGCTTTACACCTGTCTGTAGATGGTATAGTACTGGGTCCTGAGAAACACAGGAATCTGGATCAGGAATGCTTCCTCAAGACAAAGCTGTTATCTTTTAAATGCACTAAAGTACTTCTCCAACCCAAATCTTGCCATTTATACACACACAAAACTATTTTATTTGTACATATTATATACACATACACACACACACACACACACACACACACCTCACTACATAAGCAACCAAGATCCAGAGGTATAGGCTAATGAAAATTAAAAAGATCCCCATGTCCTATGGTATAAATTATCCCCAAAGTCACTCAAGCTGTCAAGAATGAAGCCCAAAAGTATGAAAAGAATAATGAAATCTCAAAGGATAATCAAGTACATGCTTTTCTACCTGACACTGAAGGCCCTCATATATTGGCACCACTGCAGCATGCTTCCTCAGTAACGGTGACACCACCCACAGAGCATTGACAACTGGCTCTTGGGTGATGGGGGTGAAACTATTCTTAGCTAATACAATGATTTGAGGTCCCACAAGGAGCACAGTAGACAGACAGATATAAAGTACATCTGTAGTATTAAAAACTCAAAGGGGAAGGGGATATTTAGTAAAAAAAGTTTTTACAAAGGCTCCATTGTGTATACAATAATGAACAAAAGGATGAAAACAACTAAACTATACCTATTCATACTAACCTCTCAATAGACTATACTACCAAACATCTCTAAACCGGCTGATTTCCTTTCCATCAAATCCATCAAATCCATAGCATATTTATTATTTATCACAACAGTATTAACATAGTCTCTCCCCATTGGGTATGTCTTCTTATATACCAGTCCCAAATCCCTTCATTATTCAAAGCTACTTTCAAGTTCACTTCCTCCAACTTTTCTTGGTATAATGTATACCACCACCCCAATGTATACTGCTCTTTCTCTTCTCTCAAAAATAGAACTTATTGGCCATGCCATTTTTCATGAAAATTATTCACCATCTTGAAATATAACCTAATACTTTGTCTGTGTATCTCTGCAGTTGGGATATAAGTATAGGTTTGCATGCTCATATGCAAACAAAAGGAAATTTAGTTTGGCAAAGATGTGTATAAAACTATTAAGCTCTTGAGAATAAAAATATAAGACATGTTTTACTTATTCATGATTGTTTTCTCAAGTCTGAATGTCTAAAAGGTAGTAGACTTTCAACATAAATGAAAAGCCATTTTCAAAAACAAGTACTCTAATGAACAAACATACTGAAAACCTACTGTATTCCAAGCATTTTACCACATGAATTAAATACGGCTTCAGTTAATCCTCATAATTTCCATGCATGGTATTTTTTTCTAACTTTACAAGACAAGGCAGAGAGAAATACAGGAATTTTGCCTGAGGCCACAACAGCTATTAAAAGCCAGGGGCAGTTTTCTGATTTAAACTTAAAGGTCCTGAGAGGAGACCAAAACCAGACTATCCAACTAAAGGTTAAATATACAAACACACACAAACACACACACATGCACACACTAATACACACAGTGTTTATATAAATATTCACGATTATAAATTATTTATATTTCATTTAGTTCTATATTATAAGTGTTCTGCTATTTCTATACAGGGACAAACCCAGTTATTTTTACATGTCTCCAGCTTTCCTTGACAATAGTAGCAGCAGCAATAATAATAATAATAATAAATACACTAACCTAAACTCATACTTTTCTTAAGTACCCTGAATTCCAACACAGTTGACTCATTTATATAAAACTTAACCCATTAGCAACTATTTGTATTAAGAGGTATTAGACATCTATAAAACTATTTTAAAACTGAAAAAAAAATTTCCTATGAATCCCTGACTCATAGAAAGCACATACTTGTTTTTCTTTCCTCTTCCAGCCTGCTGAGTTAAAGGACATGATAAAATAAAGAAGCTCTAGGTTTCCAAGTGGTACAAGAGCACCCAAGGCAAGCCATGGTTCACAGCCGGGGATGCCCCCGATCCAAGTAATGCTAAATTTAGTCAAATCAACACAATATTCCTTGTTTCTCAGTCTTCTGATTGTCAGCTTTTAATATTTTATCATGACACAAGGTAAAATTAGTGGCATCTAACCCAAAATACCTCACAGAGAAATGAGGCCCAAAGTAACAATATTTCTTATCTCCGAAGAAAAATATGTAACTCTGAAAGTTCCTGGTGAGCATATCTTATACTCATTTACTTACTCAAATAATTACGTTCTAAAATTTATAAGATGTAATATTTAGATGCAGCTGAGGTTTTTAGCTTTGATTTTTAGTAATAAAAAGGAAATCACAGAAGCAGCTTTACCTTCTTTCATAACCCACACACCATCTTGGGCCAGCACAGCCCTGCCTACAGAGCTTGATGGTGCATGTGAATGCCTGGGCCCACGGGGGTGGAAGGGCCACCACATTCAGTTGCTGCTCTTCACAAACATAGCCTTGAAAATAAAAAGGGAAAGAGAGAGAGAATATAAATTGTTTATGCTCCATACATGAATCATTCATTTCTCCATATTCCACAAAAACTTGTGGTGACTTACATAAACACGTAAGAGAGAAAAATAGTCAATGTGGAAAAAAAAATTCAGGCCCAGGAACAAGAAAAATCAGAATAGATTTTAAAAGCAAGGAGAAATTTAGAGATGACTATAAAAGTCATAAGTTCCTTAGAAAAACTGAGCTGCAAATTATGTTCTGAGCTCTTTAGTAGCCAAAATGTAAAAAGAAACACAACTATATGATACTCAACATCCATGAGTAAAAGCAGGCCATTTCATCAAAAGAAGTTAAATTTTTCATGGAGATGATTTCTGAACAGTATTTTCCAAGAGCATATTTAGCTCAGGTTCACACAAAATGCTTGTTTAAGCACAAATATTTTTCAATAGTCATCATTATATTAATATTTTCTCATATAGGATTTTAGACACAGTATCTCTAGTTTTTAAATGTGTGGGGCTAGATAACAGTAATAGCCTGTCTGCATTTGAAAACAATACTAATTATAAAAGCAGCCACGTTAGTCCAACCACTAATACTTTTCATGAATTCAAAGTTACCTGCCTGCTATGCCCTGACCTCACTTGGGTGCTGACGCTCTTGCCTCTAGGAAACTCAGTCTCATTTAGTCTCTAGGCTCATAAACTGCTCTAAATAGAAATGATTTCTGAATAAGGATTCTAGCTGACCCTTAAATAATGCTTTGAACTTCTTCAACACAATAATAATACTGATTAGAAACATCTCCAGTGCTTCCCGTATTAAAATCAGCTATATCACCCACTGTGGCTGTAGCCCCTTTTGTGACATTTCTTCTGTGGCTCTAAGTCTCACCATCAGATTTCATATATAGCCCAACACTCATTTCCAGATGTGTTTCTGAAAGGTGATTATTTGGACCTCTAACTTCATCTAAATTGAATAAAATAAAATAAAATGAAATAAAAATTGAGCTTTATGAATTTTCATGGCACATTCTAATGTTTTAGGTAAATTCCATAATAAATGGAAAAGCTGCACATAAGTCAAGCATCCATAAAATAATCAAGAAGCAGACAATGAATGGTCCTAAAGAAAACCTTAGCTTTAAAAATTCCATATCAGATTCTCTGTAAACTGCCTATACCTATGCCTTTATCTGGGCTTACATGCTCCTTGTGAACCAACTAGAATTAGAATGCACTCACTATACCTGGTTTTTCTTTCTATAGTTTAAAACTTTATGCATCATCCAGCCATGAACTCCATTTTGTAATCTTATCTCCATCTATGATTCTGCTCACCCACCTACCTACCCATCCACCCATTCAACAGATACTGTAGCTTACATATGACAGAAGCATTCCACCACAGAAGGATTTGAATATGAGTAGTTTATTTTGGGAGATGCAGGCAACACTGGTAAGGAAGTGGTGAAATGAGACAGAGAAAGACATTAGCTAATAAAACGATGCATTACTAAGGGGAACAAAAGCAAAAATGAACAAATGGGACTACATCAAACTAAAAAGCTTCTGTACAGCAAAGGACACCATCAGTAGAACAGAAAGGCACCTTACAGTATAAAAGAATATATTCATAAACAACTTATCCAATAAGGGGTTAACATCCAAAATACATAAAGAGCTCACATACCTCAAGACCCAAAAAAAACAAATAACCCAATTGAAAAATGGGCAAAGGATCTTTACAAACACTTCTCCAAAGAAGAAATTCAGATGGCCAACAGGCACATGAAAAGATGCTCCACATTGCTAATTATCAGGGAAATGCAAATTAAAACCACAATAAGATATCACCTCACACCAGTAAGGATGGCCAACATCCAAAAGACAAGAAACAAGAAATTATGGTGAGGATGTGGAGAAAGGGGAACCCTCCTACACTGCTGGTGAGAATGTAAGCTAGTTCAACCATTGTGGCAACCAATATGGAGGTTCTTCAAAAAACTAAAATAGAAATACCATTTGACCCAGGAATTCCACTCCTAGGAATTTACCCAAACAAAACAAGATTATTGATTCAGAAGGACATATGCACACAACATGTTTATTACAGCACTATTTATAATAGCCAAGATGTAGAAGTGATTTAAGTGGCCATCAGTAGATGAATGGATAAAGAAGATGTGGTACATATACACAATGGAATATTATTGAGTAATAAGAAGAAAACAAGTCCCACCATTTGCAAGAACATGGATAGAGCTAGAGGGTATTATGCTCAGTGAAATAAGCCAGGTGGAGAAAAACAAGTATCAAATGATTTCACTCATTTGTGGAGTACAACAATGAAGCAAAACTGAAGGAACGAAACAGCGGCAGACTCACAGACTCCAAGAAGGGACTAGCGGTCACCAAAGGGAGGGGGTGGGGAGAGTGGGTGGGGAGGGAGGGAAAAGGGGATTGAAGGGCATTATAATTAGCACTCACAATATAGGTAGATCACAGGGAAGGCAGTACAGAACCGAGAAGACAAGTAATGACTCCATAGCATCTTACTACGCTAATAGACAGTGATTGCAGTGGGATTGGGGTGGGGGTGACTTGATAATATGGGTGAATGTTGAAACCACAATGCTGCTTGTGTAAAACCTTCATAAGATTGTATACCATAATACCTTAATTTTTTAAAAATGCATTATTAAACCAAAGAACACTTTAAAGGACAAACCCCCCAAAAGGTGAGGGAGCTTGGGCATTTGTATACTAATTCCTATCAGTGACTGATTGACAGCTATTCCCTCTTTCACATTTCAAGCACGAATAGGCAAAGTCAGCTGCCAGAAGCCAGAAGTCTTTAAGCAAAGAAATGCAAATGCTGCAGTTGGAAGCCTGGAAGGTGTGCACACATGAAGGACAGGGGACAAGGTCTGATAGTGCCAGTTGCAGGTGGTACACAAAAGAGAAGGTCCATATTTATTGTACCTTGACAATCTATTTAGAAGAAAGGGTAAGTAGAAGCACCTAAATAAATACAAAATATGAAGTGCTAAAATAGAAGCAATCAGGAGGCTGAAATAGAGATAGAGGAAGAGAAGATTCATTAATTAGGAAAGGCCTCGTTGAAGACGTGACACTGTGAACTAACAGAGTGAAGAGAAACCAGCCACAGAAGAGCCAGGGAATGCCATTCAGGCAGAAGAAATAGAATAAGCAGAGGCTCCGAAAGGGCAAAATGCTTGGCTTCCAGAGGATCTGAAAGAAGGCCAAATTGGCTCAAATGAATGAGATGCTTGGTAAGGCAGACAGGGCTTTTCAGGCAGACGAGTTTTTATTTTATTCTCAGAGCACTGGAAGCCACAGAGGGTTTACAGAATTCTGATTTCTGGCCTCATTTCCCACAACCAGGATCTGGAGAGGGGCATGTGATACTCTCTTTCTGATATCAACTAGATCTACCCTGTGACAATGACTTTGGTTACATCTGCACCTGGGCACTAAAAGTAACAGCCCCAGCCCAATTCAACCTGCCCTCCAAGTCCCAGGGATCCCCCACTTGCTCATTGGAGTTTTCTTGGTTTCTGCAAAGGAAAGAAGTCCTGGTGGGAATTTCTGTATTTTCACAGAGACCCAAAGCTAGCAGCACCAGTGAACACGGAAAGATACAACACAAATTTTATGCATCACAAGGAAACTGTCTTAAAGTTCCTAGAAAACCATTTGCAATCCAGATTGTCACCAAGTAATTTCTCTCATAACATAAGAAATGTTAATGTGACTTCAGAATTTCACATATTCTATTGCCGAACTGTATTAATAAGCAACATAGTTTTGAGATGAGTTTTCATTTTAAGTTAACTCATGCTAGGGAGTGGTCTGGTAAAACATTATCATTTTTGACTTCCAAATGCATGTGGCTAAGTAAAGTCAGTGACTAGGTTATCTTGCAGGTGTCTTGAGTAGATTTCAATTTTTTTTAATTTAGTCTTCTTTCGTAACTAGGAAAGCTATAAATGCTGGTAGTGAAAAAAAAAACACCTGAATGATGGATAAATATAGAAAATCAAGGTTGTCCTCAATATGCTCCTAGATGTAACCACTGCTAATAATCTCATGTATTCATATCTAATTCTTTTGGGGGCACACATATTTTTGCATAAATGGGATCACACTCTACTTATATACTTGTTTAAATTATGTAAAAAGTATTGTCTTATAATTTAACAAACAACATGGTATGAATAAATTTCCATTTTGAAATATATAGAATTACTTTAACCCTTGTGTTTCTTTCTAGAGTGTGGATATATCAGGATAAAATAGAATTGGTGTAGCCAATATCCTACTGATAGACATTAGTTGTCTCTAATTGTTTGTGACTTTAAATAACTCAGTGTCAGCCCCCTTACATAAACAACTGCATTACTGATTAAGTTTTTTCTTCTTAGATTTTCTTAGGAAATATTTGTTTCCTCTGAGTCCTGTTAGCTCAGGTTTTCTTTTTTTAGCCTCTCTCTTCTATATTTTAGTCTTTCTCAAGTATCAGCTTATCATTGCCTGCCTAAATTCAAGTATGAGACACTAGAAGCTGACTGGAGCTATGGATGATAGAAAGAGCTTGTAATTGGTGGGCTCACTGTCAGGGATCTAGGGGTGAACATGTTTTTGAGAAGCTCCTGGATGTCAGTGTATGGAAATCTGAATTCTAGGGCGATTTAGTTTTTCTAGAAAAGAATCCAGACTCTTTTTCCTAAGAAAGCTGACACCTTGTGGTTAGTGCTTGGGGACCAAACATGGGCAGGGGGCCCTGTTATTTTTAGCCCATACCCACCCCTAGGCAGTGCCAGTCTGCAGCCCATCTGAAGCTTCTGTGGCTCTTGTTCTCCAGAGGAAACAATCAATGCAATCTCTCTCTCCTCTTCTGCTCTTTCCTCTTTTCTCTCTCTCTCTCTCCTGAATGGGAGTGGGGCAGGTCTATCTGTCCAGCTCTACAG